GTTGACTTAACAATTTCACACTCTTGTTTATGGTGTCAGAAATCTCCCTAGGCTCTAGTCATGAGTTGCCAAGGCTATGGAAGCCTTTTGAGTTCGCCGACTTCGATCTTATTCAGACAAGGTCATAGTCAAAGTGGAAGTTCTCTCCTCCCTTCAGAGAAAGGTACCTCCTTCTTTGATGGCCCCGTTTAAACAGACATTTTTCAAAGGGTGAAATCCAAATGGCTAAAAGACATATGAAAAAATGTTCAGGATCACTAGCCATCAGGGAAATGCAAATCAAAACCACATTGAGGTTTTACCTCACCCCGGTTAGAATGGCCTTCATATAGAAATCAACAAACAACAGATGCTGGCGAGGATGTGGGGGAAAAGGTGCCCTAATCCACCGCTGGTGGGAATGCAAACTGGTGCAGCCACTGTGAAAGACCATGTAGAGATTGCTCAGAAAACTGAGTATAGTCCTGCCACAAGACCCAGCCATCCCACTCCTGGGAATTTACCCAAGGGAAATGAAATCAGCATCTGAAGAGCTATCTTTACCCACGTTATTGCAGCTCCATTTACAGCACCAAAGACATGGAATCAACCCAGCTGTCCATCAGCTGAAGACTGGATGAATAAAATGTGATGTATATGTGTGTACACACACACACATATGCACACACACTGGAATATTACTCAGCCAAAAAGAAGAATGAGATCCCATCTTTTGCAATAAAACAGTTACAATTGTAAGCCATTATACTCAGTGAAATAAGCCAGTTCCCATAAAGACAAATCCCATACATTCTCTCTGATCTGTGGGAACTAATAGAGAACAAAAATGAAATGTGTGTGAGCAGAGTTGACATTCTGAGATTTGTTTACAGCTCTTGTCTGTACTGTTAAGGAACAGTGCTTTTTGTTTTTTTCTCACTATTTGTTGAATTCTTTACTTAGTGGAGAGTTAGGGTTATGAGTATAAAATAAACAGGGCAGATTATTGCACAAGTAAAGGAGGTAATGGTGGTTAGCGCGGTGGGAGGAAGGGAGGGAAGAATCACTATGCCCCTACATCTGTGTGTATGAAACACATGATATTATAAAAAATTATCAAAAAAGAATAAAAAATAGGAAAAAATTTTAAAAAATTTAAAAAAGAAAAAAAAAAAAACCCAAACCAAGTAGCCCAAGGTCAGATGATGCAGAGAGGGCATTATCAGATCACAGTGCATCCTCTTTGGCCCAAATACTAACGCATGTTCATAGATTTATGGTAATTTTAAATATTTAAAATTTTTAAATTTATTTATTTTCATTTTATTTAAATGACAGAGGGACTGAGAGAGAGATACAGAGAAAGAGAGAGAGAGAGAGGAGGAGGAGGAGGAGGAGGAGGAAGAGGAGGAGGAGAGATCTTCCACCTGTGAACCCTGGGAGACAGCAGCAGGTGGTGACTCAAGTACTTGGGTCCCCAACACCCACGTAGAGACCAGGATGGAGTTCTCAGCTCCTGGCTTTGGCCTGGCTCAGCCATGGCTGTTGCAGGCATTTGGAGGATGACCCAGTGGATTGAAAATTTCTCTCTGTCTTTCTTTCTCTGTCTCTCTGCCTTTCAATAAAAATCAATCAACAAAAGTTCTAAATGACTCCTCCATCAGTACACAATGACACCTGATGCGTGTCATGTGTTTATAAATTATGTCAGTGTAATCATATATAAGCAATATGCATGCATCATAATTGATGTATTCCATGGTATAAAGATCACAGCGCATGAACTGTTTCATCCAATACAATGACATGGAACCATGCCGAGCTCTGGCTATGGCCGTGGGCTGATGCCATCATGGTTGATGTGATGGGCTGCTGCCATACAGGCCCTATGTACCCTCAGGGCACTGATGAGAGATTTTTTTTTACTTTTTCAAATTATTTTATTTTTAATTAACTTTTAGCATATTCAGTGTGATTTGTAGATACAATTCTAAGAACATGATTATATTCCCAGTCCCCTCCTCCCCCTCCTATCCTCTTTCCTTCTTCCTTTTTTTTTTTTTTTTGACAGGCAGAGTTGGACAGTGAGAGAGATAGAGAGAAAGGTCTTCCTTTTCCGTTGGTTCACCCAACAAATGGCCGCTACTGCTGGTGCATTGCACTGACCCGAAGCCAAGAGCCAGGTGCTTCCTTCTGGTCTCCCATGCGGGTGCAGGGCCCAAGCACATGGGCCATCCTCCACTGCACTCCCAGGCCACAGCAGAGAGCTGGACTTGAAGAGGAGCAACCGGGACAGAATCCGGCTCCCCAACTGGGACTAGAACTTGGGGTGCCGGCACTGCAGGCGGAGGATTAGCCTGGTGATCCACAGCACCGGCTCCTTCTTCCTTTCTATTGAGTTTTTGAGATAACATATTTTAAAATTACATTATAGTAGAAAGGCTTAATACTTCTCAGCATAAGAAGTATAACAGGTAAAAAGCAAAAAGTCCCCAGTTTAGAGGAATATAGATAACAGCTATAAACAATAATTAAATGGAAAAATGACCATTTCACACATATTCAGTGAATTTTAAAGTAATCGCAGATCATTAAAACTACACTAGTATAACATTCTTAACCATTGGTTTGACAAGGGTATAAAAAAGGATTTACAAAACTATTTTTACAGCAGTACTGATACAGTCATTTCTTTTTTGTTGGATTTTTAAATATCAGCTCCCACCTGTGAGGGAGAACATGCAGTGTTTGTCTCTCTGGGTCTGGCTTATTCCACTGAACGTGGTGTCCTCTAGTTGTGTCCATTTTCCTGCAAATGGTGAGATTCCATTCTTTTTCATATCTGAATAATATTCTATTGTGTATACATACCACATTTCCCGTGTCCATCCACTGATGATGGACACTTGCGTGGTCCCAAATCTTGGCTGTGTGAACAGTGCTGCTGTAAACATGGAGGTATGGTATCTCTCTGATGCATTGCAACCAAGTCTCTGAGTAAACACCCAGCAGTGGGATTGTGGGGTCATATGGCAAAAAACTAAGAACTATTTCTAGTTTTTAAGAAATCTCCACAGTGTTTTCCACAGTGGCTGCACTAGTTTGCATTCCCACCGGCAGCATGTGAGTGTCCCCTTTCTCCACATCCTGGCCAGCATTTGTTACTCTGTGTTTTACATTTTGGTCAGTTTGGCAGGGGTGAGGTGATTTCTCATTGTGATTTTGATTCGCATTTTAGTGATATTGATTCTTCCAATCCATAAGCAAGGAATATCTTTCCATTTCTTTGTGTGTCCTTGATTATTTCTTTCATCAATGTTTGATAATTTTCATTGTAGATTTCTTTCACTTCTTTGGTTAAATTTATTCCTAATTTTTTATTATGTTTGTGGCTGTTGTGAATAGGATTTCTTTATTAATTTCTCTTTCTGTGAGTTCATCATTAGCTTACTAAAAAGCTACTGTTTTTTGTATATTTATTTATTCTGTAACCTCCACTTTACTGAGTTGGTCTGTCAATTCTGCACCTTTTTGGTGGAGTGTTTAGGTTTCTCCACGTACAGCATTGTGTCATCTGCAAACATGGGTAATTCGACTTCTTCTTTTACATTTTTGCTGCTCTTTGTTCCCTTTTCCTCTAATTGCTCTTGCTAAAGCTTCCGGTGCTGTACTGAACAGGAGTGCTGAACCTGGACATGCTGGTCTCCACCTGCTTTCAGCTCTTCCCCTTACAGTGTGACGCTGGCTGGTGGTTTGTCATGGGCAGCCTTCATACTTTTGAGGAGTGTTCCTTCTATACCTAATTTGTGGAGGGTTTTCATCATGAAGGTGAGTTGAATTTTATCAAATGCTTTCTGTGCATCTATTGAGATGACCACGTAGTTTTTGTTCTTCATTCTATTGATATGATTTGTGATATTTGTTGATTTGCGAATGTTGGACGACCCTTGCATTTCTGGGATGATTCCCGCTTGGTTGTGATGTGTCATCTTTTTTATGTGGTTTTGAATTCAGTTTGCTAGTTTTTGTTGAGAATCTTTGCATCTATGTTCATTTAGGATCTAGGTATGTGGTTTTCTTTTTGTGTCATATCTTTGGTTTTGGTGTCAAAGTAATTATGACCTCATGAAAACTGTAAGGCAGAGTTCCATACTGTTCAATGCTTTGGAATAGTTTGAAGAGTGTTGGAGTTACTTCCTCTTTGAATGTTTTGTAGAGTTTAGTAGTAAAGCCGCCAGGTCCCAGACCTTTCCTTGATGGAAGATTTTGATTACTGCTTCAATCTCATTTCTTTCTTTCTTTTTTTAAAAATTTTTTAAAAAATTTTTTTGACAGGCAGAGTGGACAGTGAGAGAGAGAGAGACAGAGAGAAAGGTCTTCCTTTGCTGTTGGTTCACCCTCCAATGGCTGCCGTGGCCGGCGTGCTGCGGCCGGCGCACCGTGCTGATCCGATGGCAGGAGCCAGGTGCTTCTCCTGGTCTTCCATGGGGTGCAGGGCCCAAGCACTTGGGCCACCCTCCACTGCACTCCCTGGCCACAGCAGAGAGCTGGTGGCATGGTCTTTATTCACTTGGACACTGTACAAATATTACAATTTCCTTTTGCTGCAAAAAGTATAAAAATAATCTTTATATAGGAATCCATTCGTCACTGTAAATATTTCTAAATCTCTGCAAATGGCTCTAAATGAGGGCAAACGAATAAATGGAAGTGAAGGGGAGGCTATGGGACAGCAGGAGGTTGGGCCAATCCTCAGGGACCTACCCACTCAGACTCCTAGCAAGAGACCTCTGTTCCTTCTCGTTAGCACCCCCCACCCTCACCTGCAGGTTCTCAGGGCTTGGGGCCCAGCAGGAAGGGGGCACGTAAGAGGTCCATGAGGAGCTGGGGGGTCAGGGCAGGAAGCAGCAGAGGAAGCTGGGAGTGGTGCTGGTATCCAGTTCCACCCCTGCTTCCCTCCTGGGGGGGGGGCTGGACAAGGTGCCCTGGGGGAGGGGGAGGCAGGCCTGTGCCACTGGGTGGCAGCGGAGCCTGGGCTCGGGAAGGCTCCGCGAAAGGACAGGTGAACACTTTGGCTCCACGGTGGAGGGGGCAGAGCCCCTTTCTCCCGCTCTGTAGCACAGTACAAGTGCCAATACAGGAGTGGGAGTTGTGGCCAAAACCGCAGTGAGGGCGGGCTGGGAAGCCAGGCGTCTGTGGCTCTCAAGCTATGCAGGGGTGGGGGGAGGGGTCCCCAGGTCAGAGAGTCTGGGTCCCAGCCACACACAGCATGTCCCTTGTCAGTCAGAGGTTGAGAACAGGCACATCAAAGAGGTCACAGACACCTTCACTCTCGTCCAGGTGGTAGATGTAATCGTGGTCTCCAGGGGGCGGAGAAAGACGGAGGAGAGGGGCAAACACTTCTGAGGACATCAACTCCTCCAGCAGCTCTGAGCTCATGCACTCTCGTGTGGGATCGAAGATCTCTGACAGCTCTTTAGGGAGTTCCAGAACGCCTGTGGGGTCTGCCTTGATAGGCTCAAAGGAGGTAGAAGGGTTGAGTGCGGACGAACTGCTGGTGCTGCTGCTGCTGCTGCTGTCCAGCAGGGCAGAAGACTGTAGTGGCCGGGTGTCCAGCATCGTCGGGCCCAGGGGGAGGGAGCTGAGCTCACCACTGTCCTTGCTCTCAGTTCCAGGGCCACCACTCACTGTGATCTCAGCTGCTACGTCGGCCACCCCCTGAATGTCGGTGCTGCCCGAGACAGGGACAGGGGTGGTCAGCTGGGGACTGCTTGGCCGTGAGGCTTCCTGGGGCTGGGCTGGGGCAGGCTTGGGCAGAGGCGGAGGGGTAGAAAGAGCAGGTGGACTCTGGAGCAGATCTTCAGGTGGTGGCACGGGCACAGCCCCGGGTGGGGAGCTCCACGCCTCCTTATTCACTAGCAGTACCTCGACGGGGCCACTCACACTCTTCAAGTGAATCTGGTACTTCTTCTGCCCATTGAGACCCTCTGGGATGGGCACCTCCAGGCTGGTGCCCGACGGGGCTCGGATGGCCAGGAGGGTGTCTCCAGCAAAGCATCTGCCGATGTCCTCATGAGTCACGTAGGCCAAGCAGCTGTTCTTTTTTTTTTTTTTTTTTTTTTTTTTTTTTTTTTTTTATTTTTTGACAGGCAGAGTGGACAGTGAGAGAGAGAGACAGAGAGAAAGGTCTTCCTTTGCCGTTGGTTCACCCTCCAATGGCTGCCGCGGCCGGCGCGCTGCGGCCGGCGCACCGCGCTGATCCGATGGCAGGAGCCAGGAGCCAGGTGCTTTTCCTGGTCTCCCATGGGGTGCAGGGCCCAAGCACCTGGGCCATCCTCCACTGCACTCCCTGGCCACAGCAGAGGGCTGGCCTGGAAGAGGGGCAACCGGGACAGAATCCGGCGCCCCGACCGGGACTAGAACCTGGTGTGCCGGCGCCGCTAGGCGGAGGATTAGCCTATTGAGCCGCGGCGCCGGCCTCAAGCAGCTGTTCTGCACGTCCTCCGTGACGTTCTGGATGCTCTGCTGCACCCACACCTTGTGCTGGTCCAGCTCCTGCTCCCGCTGCTGCAGCTCCTCGCTCTCTGCCTTGAGCTCGATCAGCTTGTTGGCAACCTCCCGGGTGTTGCAGCCAGGCCCCACGCCCTCCCACTGGATGCTGTTCTTGGATTTCTTCTCAGTCAGCCCAATACCTCCCAACACGTTGGTAATGTCATAAACCCACCACTTCTGGTGCACAGCTAGGGTGTCAGCTGCCAGCTTGAGGTCAAGCATGCCGTCCTTGGCCTCCTGCAGAAGTGACACGAACTTGGTGGTAAGAAGCCCCAGGCTCTTCTCATGCTGGCTTGGGGTGCCCGGGGGCGGCGGCGCCTGCAGCCCGGCCTCCGCCATCGCGCCCGCCTGCTGCCTCCCCTCAGCCAGGCCAGGCCAGGCCAGGCCAGGCCAGGCCAGGCCGGCGCCGCCCGACACTCTTTTTTTAATGTAAACACTGAATGCTGTAAACTTCCCTCTTAATACTGCTGTTGCTGTGTCCCACAGGCTTTGGTATGTTATGTTTTCATTTTTATGTATTTCAAGAAAGTTTTGATTCCCTTTTTAATTTTTTCACTTGATTTCTCAATAGCATGTTGTTTAATTTCCAAGTATTTAATTCCAAGTTTTATACTGTTCTTCTTGTGTTGGTTTCTACTTTTATTCCTTTGTGGAAGGTCTGAGAAGATACATGGTGTGATTTAAATCTTTTTGAATTTGCTGACACTTGATTTGTGGCCCGATATGTGGTCTATCCTAGAAAACTCCCACGTGCTGACGAGAAGAATGTGTGTGCTTTGGCTGCTGGTGAAATGGCTGCATATGCAGCATGTTTGAACTCCGATGTGTCTTTTCAGTTTTTCCTATCTGGGTGACCTGTCCATTGATGAGAGTGGGGTGTTGAAGTCACCCATGGTGATTGTATTGGAGTCTATCTCTCCCTTTAGGTCTAACAGTATTTTCTGTTTATTTCTAGTCTTGTGACCATATATATATATATGGAACTTGAACCGGCATCCACATGAGATGCTGGTGTCACGGGCAGCAGCTTAACCCATTACACCACAGTGCCGACCCCATAATCTTCCTCCTGGTAGTCTCTGCCTCCTCCTGGCCTCATCACACTGACGCACGTTCAGAACAGCTGAACAGGAGCAACTGAAGCAGCCGCATCTGTCTTGTTCCTAAGGTTTGGAGTCAGAAGTGCCTTTCACTGCGGAGCATTGTGCCAACTGTAGGATTTTCAAAGATTGTTTAAAGTGATTTATTTAGTTATTTGAGAGGCAGAGTTACAGAGAGAGGAGAGGGAGGTCTTCCATCTGCTGGTTCCCTCCCCAAATGGCTGCAATGGGTGGGGCTGTGCCAGGCTGAAGCCAAGAGCCAGGAGCTTCTTCTGGGTCTCCCATGTGGGTGCAGGGGCCCAAGTGCTTGGGCCATCCTCTGCTGCTTTCCCAGGTGCATTAGCAGGGAGCGGGATTGGAAGCAGAGCAGCCGGGACTCGAACCAGTGAACATATTGGAGGCTGACACTGCAGACAGTGGCTGCACAGTGCCGGCCCCTCAAAGATATCTTTTATCATGTGGGGAAAGCCTCTTTCTAATCAATATGTTAATAATTTTTATGATGAATGAAAATTGGATTTGTCAATAGTTTAACTTCATCAATTGAGATAGTGCTATTGTTCTCATCATTTTTTCTATCAGTATTGTGTTTTTTTTCTGATATTAAACCAACTAGAATTCTTAGGATAAATTCTACTTGGTCATTTTAGATAATGCTAGCTTCCACCTCCTAAGTATTTTTGTGTCAGTACACATTTGTTGAAGAATTGGTCTGCAATTTTATTTGCTGTGACACCTTTGTCTGGCTTTGATACCAGAGTGATGCTGGCATCATAGGGCAGATCTCAGTGTCTCCACGTTCTCTGCTGTCTCAAAGGGGTTTTGTGGTGCTGGCCACACTGCTGTCTTGTGCCGGTGGGTGATGGAGTTCACCAACAGTGTCAGCTGGTCTTGTTTTACTTTGTGGGAATGTTTACATTCCAGATTAATTGCCGTATAAGATATAGGTCAATTCAAATTGTCTACTTATTTTCAATTCACTTTTTAAAAAATATTTTATTTATTTGAGAGGTAGAGACAGAGAGAAGGAGAGACAGAGAAAAGTCTTCCATCTACTGGTTCACTCTCCAAATGGTTGCAACGGCCGGAGCTGGGGCTCATCCAAAGCCAGGATCCAGGAGCTTTTCTGGGTCTCCCACACCGGTGTGGGGGCCCAAGGACTTGGACCATCTTCCACTGCTTTCCCAGGCCATAGCAGAGAGCTGGATAGGAAGAGAAGCAGCTGGGATTCAAACTGGTGCCCATGTGGGATGCCAGCGCTTCAGGCAGAGGATTAACCTACTGTGCCACAGCACCAGCCCTTTGATTCATTCTTATCATTTGAGTCTTTCTAGGAATTTATCCATTTTATCTAGCTTGTCCAATCTTCTGTAACAAAGTTGCTCAATCAATTTGTAATCTATATCTAACTCTGTATCATCTACACATTTATCTGAGGTCTGCATTGGTAGATTGTAGCTTTTTTCTTACTGGGTCAGCTTAGCTAAAGGTTTACCAAATTTTTTGGTCTTTGCAAAGAACAAAATGTTGATTATATTACATTTTCTCTATTTTTTTGTATCCTCTTTAATCTTTAGTGTTTTTTTCTTGCTGTTACTTTGGGTTTGATTTCCTTTTCTTTTATTAGCTTCTTCTGATGGCATATAATTCACTGAAATTATGGGTCTTTTTTCTTTATAATTAAAACTATAAATATACCCCTAAACGCTGTTTTAACTATGGTCCAGATATTTTGATACTTTGTGTTTCATTTTCATCAAGTTCAAGATATTTTCCAATTTTCTTTTTTGACTTGTGGATTATTTAAAAATATGTATTTAAAAATATGTAAGTATTTACCACATTTCTTTCCTCAGCCAATTTCTAAGTTAATTTAGCATGGTTATGAGGACATATTTTGTATGATTTTCTTTATGTTTTCAAGATTTATTTTATGAAAAAGATATGTCCTCTACAAGATGTTTTTTGAGTCCTTGCATCAAATGTGCTTCCTTGTGGCTGCGTGAAGTGTCCTGGCCACCTCAGCTGTGTCAGCTTGGCTGATAGCGTTGCTCATGTCTTTCATGTCCATATTGTGTTTCTCTAGTTATTCCATGAATCACAGATAAAGAAGTATTAAAATATCCAGTTACACTTTATGTATCTGTATTTACTTGATAGGCAGAGAGAGCAAGCTTCTCTTTGCTGGTTCACTCCTCCCATGTGTACAACTTCCAGGCTGGGCTACACTGAAACCAGGAGCCAGGAACTCCACCTGGGTCTCCGTGTGGGAAGCGGGAGCCCGAGTCCTTGAGTCAAGCCTTCCCAGGAGCAGAGCAGGACAGGTCCCTGGCACATCCCCAGGGGCAACTCAACCCACTGTGCCACAGCATCCACCCCCAGCTCCTCTTTATCCTTTCAGTTCTGTTAGTTTTGCTCCATATTCTTTGTAACTCTGTCGTTAGGTACTTATACTTTATTGGATAGCTGTGATGCATTTTGTCATTTTTCGCATGAAATATCCTTATATTCACCGTAATATTTCTTGTTTTTTTTTTTTTTTAAGATTTATTTTATTTATTTGAAAAGCAGAGAGAGAGAGAGAACTTCTATCTGCTAATTCACTCCCCAAATGGCTGCAGTAGCTGGGGCTTCACTAGACTGAAGCTAGGAGCCAGGAACTCCATCTGGGTCTCCCACATGGGTGCAGGGGTCCAAGTTCTTGAACCATCTTCCACAGCTTTCCCAAGCACATTAGCAGGGGGCTGAACTGGAAGCAGAACAGCTGGGACTGGAACTGGTGCTCCAATATGAGGTGCCGGCATTGGGAACAGTGGCCTACTTGTTGTAAAGTATATTTTATCTAACATTAACATAGTATCTAGATCTCTTATGGTTTCTATTTGCATGGTAGATGTTTTCTTTTTTAAAGATTTTATTTATTTATTCGAAAGTCAGAGTTTCACAGAGAGAGAGAGAGAGAGAGAGAGAGAGAGGTCTTCCATCTGCTGGTTCACTCCACAGTTGGCAGCGATGGCTGGAGCTATGCTGATCCGAAGCCAGGAGCCAGGAGCTTCTTCCGGGTATTCCATGTGGATGCAGGAGCCCAAGGACTTAGGCCATCTTCTACTGCTTTCCCAGGCCATAGCAGAGAGCTGGAACAGAAGAGGAGCAGCCGGGACTAGAACTGGCGACCATCTGGATGCCGGCACCCCAGGCCAGGACGTTAACCCACTGTGCCACAGCGCCGGCCCCGGTACATGTTTTCTATTCTTTTACTTTTAACATAGTTGTGATGTGTATCTTTTTTATATATCCTATAGTTGGATCTTGCTTTTGTATCCACTCTGATAACCACCATCTTTTGACTGGAAAATTAATTCATTTGTATTTAATGGAATTATTGATATGGTTTTTTGGGGGGAGGGGCAGGCAGAGTTAGACAATGAGAGAGACAGAGAGAGAGAGACAGAGAGAGAGGTCTTCCTTCTGTTGGTTCACTCCCCTAATGGCCGCTACGGCTGGCACTGCGCCGATCCGAAGCCAGGAGCCAGATGCTTCCTCCTGGTGTCCCATGTGGGTGCAGGGACCCAAGCACTTGGGCCATCCTCCACTGCCCTCCTGGGCCACAGCAGAGAGCTGGACTGGAAGAGGAGCAACTGGGACAGAATCTGGCACCCCAACCGGGACTAGTACCTGGAGCCCCAACCGGGACTAGAACCTGGGGTGCCGGTGCAGCAGGTGGAGGATTAGCCAAGTGAGCCATGGCGCTGGCCAATATGGTTGGATTTAAATGTGATATTTTGTTATTTGATTTACATTATTTTAGATACTTATTTCTCTTTTTTCCTTACTTTGCTTTAAATAATTTTTTAAAGTATGCCCTTGAGCTATTTTGTAGTTATGCCCCTTTAACTTGTCACAGTCTGCATCCAATGAGCACTGACTTAATTGTGTGAAAAGACAGCAACTTTACTCTGGCTCCTGGTGTCGTTTTTTTTTATTTTTTTTTATTTTTGAGATCTATATATTTGTTTGAAAGGCAGCGTTACAGAGAGGCAGAGGCAGAGAGAGAGAGAGAGAGAGAGGTCTTTGATTCGCTGGTTCACTCCCCAGATGGTCTCAACGGCCAGAGCTAGGCCGATCTGAAGCCAGGAGCCAGGAGCTCCCTCCGGGTCTCCCACGTGGGTGCAGGGCCCAAGGACTTGGGCCATCTTCCACTGCTTTCCCAGGCCATAGCAGAGAGCTGGATTGGAAGTGGAGCAGC